TGTCTGCAGAGACATAGTGTCTCAGGTTTCAGGTAGTAGACATTGGTGGTGGACTTTTAGCCCTCTTAGTTTTGCCATGCCATTTTTTAAATCATTAAAAAATATAGTATCATGATTCAGAGTTTACATATGCAATTGACGTTATTTTGAAATCGTACAATATTGCAACGTGTGAAATTATTGGGTTAAGTGACCTACTATGTTTTGTTTTGAAATTGATTTCGACCGGTATGAATTTTTCCCAATCTCTATCAATATTGGAAAAATCGAAGTCGTTTTATATTTATCATTTAGTCATGCTGTATAGAAATCTAAATTTGTATTGAAATGTGATATATTTACTTGAGCGTCTTTTGTTCAGGAGTCTTTTCTATAGAGTCATCCGAAAAACTGGAGGATATCTAATTTTCTATGTGATTTGACACTTCGCCTCCCCGTTGTCACAAGCATTTCTTTGTGTAGGAGATATCGCTACTTAATTAAACATATGCCTATGTTATACAGATAAATATGACTTTCTTAGGATAGTTTGTATCAGGCACATCTATTACGCAATTGGGACTGTGCATCTAGCATTCTTCGATTCGTGATAGTCTGTTCTATATCATACCCTGACGATCTAGTTATAAATAGATTCACAAATATTTGTTATAATTGATATACGATATATATATTTTAAATGACAAAGCGCGAGTTCAAGCGGGTTTCCTACCAATTATATGTGGTGTCACCCAGGGACACGATGTGAAGGTTGGCGCATGGCTCAAAGAACATTTTCCTATTGAGCAGAGAAACTCTTTTTTCAAGGTTCATAAATCATGAAATATATGTGTTTACACGTATCATATCCTGAAACTTTGTACCTGTTAATTGTGAACATACGTGTCTCGCATCACCTAACAGGGGCGAGGGAAGTTGTAAGAATATTACATGGATAAAAATTCAGATTGACATACAGTACGCTGCTCTCCTTAGTCTTACACCTACAGAGATTAATATAAATTTTACCCAGCATTGGAACGTCAGTAAAATCTAGATTGGATCAGGGCACCAGTCACCAACTAATATCCCATTAGTCTTGAGTGATGATGATTTATTTGTCAGTAAGAGTACACAGATATCAGAACACGTCAAAACAAACCACAAATTATTATGACAAACTTTGTTAGTGGGATGCAAGCTAAATTTCGTGATAATTGTGTTTAGTACATGTAAAAGAATATTTTTAATTTTAAGTATGGAATTTTTTTTAAATTTTTTTATTTCATTTTTTTTTTTTAGTTTAAGTTGTTTGAATTTATTTGGCGTTTCTTAGAACATGAACAATTAGGTACATATTTTAGGTTTTTAAAAAAACCTATGACTATTTGATAAGGTGCATCTTTCAGATCTAAGACGAGCCAAACAGTTATTCTCAACTATACAGATGTTTCGTCCTTCAAGGACTCGCCAGTGATGCTAAGGGCCTCAAAAATGAACTCTAGAAGGCGATGAAGGAAAACCAAAATTAACTGATTGGCATGTCAAAGTGAAGATGGAGAGGAACACTAGCCACGGAACACAATTAATTTTGTAATTTAAAAACATGGGTATAATCTTAAAGCTATTTTTAGAAGTTCTTGAATAAATTATGAACAGAATGTAGTACAGGTACAGTGACTTAGTCTGAAGACTTGAGTGTGCACAGTACATAAACATTTCTTAACTTTTCTCAATGGCTTCGAATTGGATTAAAAGATTGTACAAAAGACACAAAAGTGAATGGCACCCGCTAATACTTCAGAATTAGATAGAGTAGAGTCAAACAATGAATGAAACCGCAGCATACAGCTGTTTTGTCCTTCTAGGTCTCATCAGTGATGCTAAGGTCCTGTTGTTTTAAGTCTAGGAGGCGACTTGCCAAAATCCAAAGTTATTAAAGGAAAAGTAAAAATCTAGACAGGGAGATGCAGCAGCTCCATATTTAAATAAAATTCTTTATGTTCATAAATCAGATTATGTTAGAACAGTTTAAAGTACATGTGTATATTCTGAGTCGTGCCACTAATTCACGAAACACTATCCCGCAAATTGAAATATATTATTCAGTAACCATGATCTCATTTAACATTACAAAGTTATTCATCGCCACGGCTTCAACTCCAAACAGAAGTCGAGTGTTATCTGTATGACATTATGTTAGATTTCTCTGTTTGTTTGTTTGTTTTTTTTTCCTCACTTGGTAACGTTAAATGATCATGTTCCGTATTTATAACTAACATTCTGTTACATAATTTGTACTAGAGTTTTAGCATCTTTGTATTTATGAATACCATGTTTTAAGTATGTTTTCTAAAATAATAAAAAGTAAGTGATTAATGTGACTTCCATGGTTCTATATAAAAGCCTTTTTAGACTGTTTCACCTTCAGATATATTGAAAACTTCTTGTCTATGAATAACAAGAAATTCATTGACCACGCCAATCGTGTTGACCCACCAGACTTTGAAATCAAGGACACCACAGACTCTTCTACACTAGCCGTTTATTTCGATCGTTTACTTCAATATAACCAACATTTACAGCTTTCCACCAAGCTGTATTATAAGCGTGATGACTCAATTTCCTTATTGTGAATATTCCATTTCTGAATGCAACTTCCCTGAATCACGAACGTTTACATGTCTCGGTTGATTCAATATTCTATTTCTTTGCGTGGTAGGAAGCTGGACGTGTTTAATGCTCGTTAGTTTACCTGTTTGTTCCGTTGTTTTACATTTTATATATGGTGGATGTCGTCGAAGAAGTAGAAGACGCTTACTCTTTCGGAACATCTGGTCGTATTCTCCGTATGCTTTTTAGGGACTCTCCATGTAAATCTTTCTTTTGTCATTATTTTGCCCTAATTTTATTGAATTTGAGTATGGATTATCATAAAGTTGACATATTGGTAATTTTTTCCACAACATTTAACTTCAGATTGATACCGTTGATGTAAATAGTGTGACAAAAATGAAAGTTTTCTCTGTCATATGTTTTACTGATTAACACTGACAATAAAGGTGTTTTATGTGTCACAAAAGGATACAGATACGTTATTAAAACACTAATAATTATTAAAACGACGGCGACTTGCGGAGAAAAATATCATTTACACCTTGTGAAAGACAACAGTTGTTCTTGAAGATCAATAAGAGTCTTCTGTCCAGTATTGTCGACACATTTAAATGGATAGATAATTTCGCTATCAGTGATGAGTCTACATAATTGTTACGGGATTTAACATTCTTTTGATATGCATTGCATCATTTTCATTTGTATACAAGACGTGCAAAATCTGGGAAATTTTGAAATTTGTTCCAATTTTCTCGTTTTCTGTAAGTAGCACGGGCTTGTTCCAACTATCATGGCTTTCATGCAAGAAGTCAACTGGCGCACAAACTCGTAATAAAGTGTTTAAAAGATTCAAATTGAGGAAAATTATCGGGAAGTTTTATGGTCGTCATAGTGACCTCATTGTGAAATATCCTATTTCTTTGTGCGATATGAAGCTTGACGTATTTGGTGCTCGTTAGCTTGTTGTTGGTTCCATTTCTTTTCTTCATATCTTGTCCTAAAGTTATTGAAAAACGACAAAAAATATCAACTTGAATTTTGCAATGGTTTATTTACTGACGACATCTTTCTTGAACAGTTCTGTGTCATCTAATATATCTCTTGTCCTTACGCTATAAACACATTCTTAACGTTACACGGATTTGCTATTTATTACAATATCTGATGATAAGACAACACTCAAATAACTTATCTGTAATTATTTTATAAGAACATGTCAACAGAAGAGGATGTCGTATTAGTCGTCATAATATCTCTGTCTCGCCTCTCTCGCAAATGCCATTATTGTCCATTGACGCGGTTTCTCGCCTTTCTGCTACCCTCCCAGTATTGTCTATAGACGCGATATTTTGCCTTTCTGGTACACTCGCGGAAGTGTCCATGGACGCGGTATCTCGCCTTTCTGGTACACTCGCGTTAGTGTCCATGGACGCGGTATCTCGCCTTTCTGGTACACTCGCGGTAGTGTCCATGGTCGCGGTATCTCGCCTTTCTGGTACACTCGTGGTAGTGTCCATGGACGCGGTACCTCGCCTTTCTGGTACACTCGGGGTAGTGTCCATGGACGCGGTATCTCGCCTTTCTGGTACACTCGCGGTAGTGTTCCTGGACGTGGTATCTCGCCTTTCTGGTACACTCGCGGAAGTGTCCATGGACGCGGTTTCTCGCCTTTCTGGCACCATCTCAATATTGTCTACAGACGCGATATTTTGCCTTTCTGGTACACTCGCGGTAGTGTCCATTGACGCGATATCTCACCTGATGGACGTGGTATCTCGCCTTTCTGGTACCTTCCCAGTATTGTCTTATGGAAGCGGCATATCGCCTGTCAGGCTCCCAAATTTTATCTAAAGATAAACCATTTACGGTTTTTATCTTCTTTAAGTCTGTGATAAATGGACAATGACAGAAAAAAAACTGTCACCATTGTAATTTGACTTTTCGTAGCCACCAATACATGTTACCTATATGAAATCAATTTCCATATTGTCAAGCTATTTTCATTATAAGGTTTCCACTGAAAATGCATAAATAATAATGTCCCAAATTTCGCCCCAATCAACTTGATCGCCTCCAACCCCCAACCACTCCGGTCCTGAATATAAACGTATATACAAGGCATTGTAATAGGTGTGTTAATTAAACATACCCCAGTGTGGATTAACGTCCATCGCCGTTCTCGTATTATTAGACTGAAGGCAATGTCAACATCGAACCAAGAATCGAACGGCATTGAATTTAGCTCAAACGGTACGGAGTAATTCTATATAAATCTCCAAACCAGGTACAAAAAGCGACTACCCGACGCAGGTGAGGAAGACGTCGACCGTGACCTCGCCATAATAACAATATAATTGTGTCGAGAGCGAGACGAACACACAGTCAACATTTACCTGTACACAGGTATGGCGAACATTTCGGACAAACTGGTCGCAATGGCCTGTCCACTTGGATTTTTTTACATTTTCTTGGCGATTGCAGCAGCTCAATCGTCGGCATCGACACCAGCTCCAGGTATGTAATTTTGGTGTTGTTTGTGGTGGCGAGTGCGGGTGTGGCTGGTCGTGTGTGTATGTGTGTGTGTGTACAGTATTCTTTTGGCCTCTTAGCTTTAATATAACTGTTTTAGATATACAGTATCTGAAGTGGACAGGGATGTGATTTAGATATACATTTTTGCAACGTGAGGAGGAATATGATTGTAACACGTCATGATTTTGTATGTGAGTTCTTTTGCGTAATGACACTGTCGTGTTCCAGTAGACCATTTTATTCTGTATGAATTATTATCGTTTCAACATAATCCTATACAACAGTGACATTAGGTTAGTGGTACCATACACATATAGATATCTAATATATCGCCAAGGTAACTATTTCTCGTGAGAAGCTGATATCGATCTGTGTTGGCTACATATATATATATACCTGTAACTGATGTTGATGACCCACACCTGTGCTTACAAGACAATGCGAATAACTTCACACGATAGTTGCAAATCCTAACAACTGATTTCAGTGACAGCATATATTTAGATCTTGCGTCAAATGCATGTCCTAAAACTTGTATAAACCATAAGAATAGACACTATTATGTCAACCAACACGACACACGTACACAGTACAACGAGCAGGTACCGAATCGATACCATACCTTAGTGTATCTGCTAATTACGTATACATATACCTGTATACTTGAAAGCTTCAGAAAATATGCCATACTTAATGTTACTTGAACAATAGCATGACTAGACTGCATAATCGGAAGTTGGGTACCACTTGCGTACCAACCTGGTTTGTAATTTCAATAGAATCGTGAAGCCAGTAGGGGCTTATGCAACTGGATTCACAAACAAAATAAACAAATATATATATATAACACTGTAAGTTGTTGTACCTGTATATTGCAAATGTACACAAATTGAGGAAGCATTGAACATACACAAACTGCTAAAGTTTGGTGTAGCCGGACAAAGTGTGCCAGGAACAATGGGGAGAATTACAAGAATCGTGTGAATAGACATTATAGATAGATCGGCAATCACCTGACTGTGACATGGTGGTAGTTACTATATATAAAACATATAACAAATGATCACGTGTACTGGTTCAATGGCATTTATATTGAAGATCCAATTTCCAGTACGTTGACAGGGAGATCGGTATCCTTCATGGACAGTAGCCTCTTATATCACGGTTCTTACCTATATCAATATACAGCAGCTATTCAAACCAAAGCTTCAGGGTGTAAATATCCTTTCATCTCTTAAAATAAGTATATGTATATGTACAGGATGTGGGTTACACAATTGCTGAGACACTGTTTTTTTGTTTTTTATTTTAAATTTTACGTTCCTATTGTTCATAAACGATAAGATATGTAAAACATTTGTTGCTAACTAATTCTATTGTAGACCTAATTATCCTCGGGTGTCACCCTTCCGGCTTGTACAGATCGACATAAGGCCTGTTATTGTACAGCAGTAACAGTCGGATCAGTCATGTTTTGACATGTGTGTTTTGCTGTATTTTAAGCTCATAATCCACCTGCTGTACAGTTACTTCGCCCATGTAATATTTCTACATGTATGTCACAAGTGTGATATACCCTACAGCGTTTTTCATTGGTTGCCTCTTTCTATCATGATATGGAAATGACATAACATTCTGATAGATAATGACGCAATAAAATGGCTGCCTCCGTTTGATTTTTTCTCCACATTTTTACATTGAAACCTGTCAAATGTAATTTTTCCGAGTTATATTTAGTTATATTTCAGTGTTAAGGTATTATATCACATACCACACAGATATATAACTCACAGTCATGAGTTGTGTTAAGGTATTATACCACATAACACACAGATATATTACTCACAGTCATGAGTTGTGTTAAGGTATTATACCACATAAGACACAGATATATTACTCACAGTCATCAGTTGTGTTAAGGTATCATGCCACATACCACACATATATATAACTCACAGTCATGAGTTGTGTTAAGGTATTATACCACATACCACACAGATATATTACTCACAGTCATCAGTTGTGTTAAGGTATTATACCACATACCACACTGATATATTACTCACAGTCATGAGTTGTGTTAAGGTATTATACCACATAACACACACATATATTACTCACAGTCATGAGTTGTGTTAAGGTATTATACCACATAACACACAGATATATTACTCACAGTCATCAGTTGTGTTAAGGTATCATGTCACATACCACACAGATATATTACTTACAGTCATCAGTTGTGTTAAGGTATTATGTCACATAACACACATATATATTACTCACAGTCATGAGTTGTGTTAAGGTATCATGTCACATAACACACAGATATATTACTCACAGTCATGAGTTGTGTTAAGGTATTATACCACATAACACACAGATATATTACTCACAGTCATGAGTTAAGGTATTGTGTTAAGGTATTATGTCACATACCACACATATATATAACTCACAGTCATGAGTTAAGGTATTGTGTTAAGGTATTATATCACATACCACACAGATATATTACTCACCGTCATGAGTTAAGGTATTGTGTTAAGGTATTATGCCACATAACACACAGATATATTACTCACAGTCATCAGTTGTGTTAAGGTATCATGCCACATACCACACAGATATATTACTCACAGTCATGAGTTAAGGTATTGTGTTAAGGTATTATATCACATACCACACAGATATATTACTCACAGTTATGAGTTGTGTTAAGGTATTACCCCACATACCACACAGATATATTACTCACAGTCATGAGTTAAGGTATTGTGTTAAGGTATTATGTCACATACCACACAGATATATTACTCACAGTCATGAGTTGTGTTAAGGTATTATACCACATACCACACAGATATATTACTCACAGTCATGAGTTAAGGTATTGTGTTAAAGTATTATGCCACATAACACACAGATATATTACTCACAGTCATGAGTTGTGTTAAGGTATTATACCACATACCACACAGATATATTACTCACAGTCATGAGTTAAGGTATTGTGTTAAGGTATTATGCCACATAACACACAGATATATTACTCACAGTCATGAGTTATTGTGTTAAGGTATTATACCACATACCACACAGATATATAACTCACAGTCATGAGTTAAGGTATTGTGTTAAGGTATAATGTCACATACCACACAGATATATAACTCACAGTCATGAGTTAAGGTATTGTGTTAAGGTATTATACCACATACCACACAGATATATTACTCACAGTCATGAGTTAAGGTATTGTGTTAAGGTATCATGCCACATACCACACATATATATAACTCACAGTCATGAGTTAAGGTATTGTGTTAAGGTATTATACCACATACCACACAGATAGATTACTCACAGTCCTCAGTTGTGTTAAGGTATTATACAATCTAAAATACACTGGAAATATTAGCTACAGTCGTCATCATCTGTATAAACGCCTTTCTTATTATTACCAATTGTTTTTCAATGGTTTTAATATTTCATAAATACGTGTGATATTCTGTATACATTTATTTCAGTTCCAGAAGCATGTTGAAATATTTAATCCAGTAAATTAATCGACCTCACATAATGTCTGTAGTTGTAGCTGGTAATACCATGGAATTTATATATATGAAATACTCAGCCCCGGTTGCAACAAAAAAATTAATAGGGACATTAAAACTGCGCTCATTGCATGCACACTTTGAGAAACACTTATCTTCTTTGTTGTATATTTTTTATTTACTTTCAAATGTGGGAAAACGGTTAAGGTCAAGGTCACATGGTCAAGAAAATGGTAATACCACAAAGGTCTTGTTACAAGGGGCATACCGGCCAAATATGAAAGTCCCACCTCTTATTATGCAAAAGTTAAATGTTAAAGTTGACAACAGACAGCACAAAAACAATATGCTTCCGATTTTTTGATCCGGGGATTTAAAAAAAAAACTGTCATACCCGACGTATACCATGTCGTATGCAAAATCACAGAGCCAGTTTCTCACCAAATCAGAAAAGTTATAATTAAGATTCAGGTTTTATCTCGTTGTAAATTGAATGTGAAAAATTTTCCAAACAAAGACCTTGGCGATTTTAAAGAAATATACTATTACCATTATAAAGCAAACCGGTTTATCGTGATGTCGATGTGGCCTCTGTGCTTTTACCTTACAAGAAAATGCGTTTAGACTTAAGGTAATATATACCTCTATGCCATGTTCTGGTTTCTTATCAAAACAAAAATCACACGCTTAGGTCTACTTAATTACCTGACAGAAAGTGCACCAGCTCGATTTTGTTTTTAAAAAATCCCCTTTTCGGGTCTTCTTATGTTGATCTGGGGAAAAGATTTAGAGACAGTCTTTGTTTACTACAATGTAAACACTATTATTTCTGGATAATTTTATGGGTTTTTTTTATTTGAACAGAGTTACCTCCCTTCATAAATTATATGAACTTATTCTTGGGGAATCTCATTCTGATAAACGACATAAACATAAATTAATTTTAATACTTTAGATACTTCATGGCATGTCTCAACGGCATATGAAAAAATATTGTACAACCGTTTTCCAAGTACATATAGATAATTTAACGTGAATTTTGATTTGTTAAATGTAAACTCTGTATTGCAATTTGAAACTCGACTGTTTGGAATACTGAAAATGTCTCTTTAACAAAACTTTAACAAACGACGGCAGTCGAAATATAAATATAAGCACGTGCCAACTTAGAAATGAAGCCTGCAATATGATCTCTGACGTTTTTCTTCACCATATGAAATATACTTGCATATTATAAATATATATATATATATGTGAATCATTACACCAAATTAGACCTAAGATGTAAGGAGAAGACTTCCGTAAGATTCGCCTGATGTCCCTATCCTTTTTCGTTTTTTGCGGGAAAATTTTGTTGAAATTGGAATTGATATATTGACATTCGAGTTGATTTAATTATATTGGAATAAAACTTTACGATCAAAA